ACTCCCCCCGAGCCCTCGGCGATATTCGCACCTCCTGAAGCCGCTGGGCCGGAGACTGAGCGCCCCAGGCTACCTGGCTGCGTGGGGGCGTCTTGCAGGTTGACTTCGTCCACCGGGAGCCCCAAGATGCGGGAGGCGCGCTCCTCCAAAGAGGGATCCGCGGGCTTCCCGCCCTCAGCTTCGAACCCGCGCCCCCCGTGTGGCTGTTGTGAAAGGCGGCTGCTCGACAGCAGCTTTTGGCAAGGGGAAGGCAAGGCCGCGGCCGCCTCCCCCTCCTCCTTGCTGGGCTTCGGTGGGCTGGGGGCATCGCCCACAGTGCGTGGCACCCCAGCCGGCAAAAGCTGCACGCGCTGGGTTCGAGGGGTCGGGACGTACTGGGACCTTATCACCACGCACGTGGCGTCAATGACAAAAATACCTTCTCCACGAGCAGGGCCGCTGGAGCTGCGGGGCAGGGTGTGGGCGCGGCGGGTGGCCTGCCAACCCTCCCAGGGGCCGGCCCTCCCTCTACGACCCAGGGGCTCTCTCGACCCCGTGCCTCCTGGAGCCCAGGGTCTGGGGAGGGTCTGGCTATGTGGAGGCGGATGCTTTTTAGGGGAGGGAATCCAGGACTTGGGGTGCCAGCTCTGTTCTCTACCTTCTTTCCCTTCCCTGGGGCCCTGGAGATGGGGCCTGGACCTGGAGGCGGGACGCGGGGGGCTGGGAGTCTCCGTGGCAGACCCCGCAGGAGCCGTCGCCCCGCCTGGGTCCCCGGCAGTCTTGGCGCGGGGGTGGCCGTCGCCGCCACTGTTCCGGCCAGCAGCAGCCGGCCCCAGGCTTTTCTCTGCGGCCCCCCGGCGGGGCTCCAGCCTCGGCCTAGCCGTTCCACAGCCTGGGGATCCCCCCAAGAGACCCCGCTCCTGCCGAAGACCCCAAGCCCCGAGGACGTCCCGGTAAATCCGAGGATCCAGCCTTTTCTTTGTGCCCCCTCCCTCGGTCCTGGCCGGATTCTGAGCAGGGGCTGCTGAGACGGGCGCCTGGGAGGGCTCGGGGCCTCGTTTCGCCCCCAGAGTCCTGTGGGGCCCTTCGTAAGAAGGTGGAGCCACATAGGG